GTCAGGAGGAAACGTTCTGAGGATAATGGAGATGGTCCGTATCATGATGGTGGTGGCTCATTGACTCTACACGTTGGTCAAAATTCACTTAAGTGTACACTTGAAATTGCTGAATTCTATTGTATGAAAGTTATATTTCAATAAAGCAAATTGAAGTATGTATATGTGATAACCTGATCTAGCCTTTCTACTCTTTTGTATCTGACTCAGAGTAAGCAAAATTTGTAACGCTTTGGCAACAGAAAATAAACACAGCTTAATTTCAAAATACAGAGCTAGAAGTTGTTGTAGAAGAATAATAGCTTCAGCAGTCACTGCACATGAGTTGCCAAGACTTTACTGGAGGCATTCCATCCCAAGATACGGCGTTTAGTCTCTCAAGGTCTTTGGACACCCAGAAAGTGGGTCGTCTTTCAGGATATCTGCGTCACTGTGAAGAACATGTCAGTAAATCAAAAACCAGCTGGATTTATTCTTAAATTGGCAAAATACATACTTGCTTGGAAGGACTATTAATCCTTTCATTCGCTGGACAGGGAAGATCGGTGTTATGGTCTTGATTACCTTTGGTTTTATCAGTACCTTATATTCTTTGGTAGAGGGTATATGTTAGGCATTAAACTTGCGCTTTGGGAAAGCAGAGATCATGTGACTGCTTGATTCTAAATCTTAAAAGTTTGAAATTAAGACTAATAATAAATATTCTTACTGAGTAAGTTGGAACACTCAAGCAATTATTTTAATTATTTAATACAAAATTATTTTGCCTAAAATAATCGATTATTAGTGCAAAAGCATTGTTCTGGACTGAATTCTCCAGATAATTCTGCTTTTGGCAACAAGTTACAACTTAAATGGGCTTAAAGAATAAGCTCATTTCCTGGCTCATGTGTCTGGAATTCTAGAGTTATCGCAGCATTTGGGGTTGGCTAGACCTGAGTCTCAACAGTCCCACCAAGCCATGGTTTTCTCCCTCTCCACTCTGCAGACAGAGTGGCTTCTTCTCCATACTGGTTCCCTCCTGGGTATAGGATGGCTGCTAAATTCTACTTGAGCCCACCATTTTCTCATTAATTCCCTGAGGGTAGAGAGAGAAGATTCTTTCGGGAAACTTTGACTTAAGGTCAGTGAAGGACTTTCTCTTTTTTTGTTTGTTTTATTTAAAGATTTTATTTATTAGAGAGAGAGAGAGCACAGAGGGAGAGGGAGAGGGAGAAGCAGACTCCTCACTGAGCCGAGAGCCCGATGCGGGACTGGATCCCAGGATTCTGAGATCATGACCTGATCCAAAGGCAGATGCTTAACTGACTGAGCCACCCAGGTGCCCCCCCGTGAAGGACTTTCTCAAGACCATTTCTCATTGGTTCAAACTGGGTCTCATGCCCATTTATTAGAGGCTCAAATTCGGTCACATTCCCAGTCACATGCCCAATCTAAGGGTAGAATTACCCTTAGGTTATGAGGTCTCCCCTTCAACTGGAAACAGAATCAGCTCCCCTGAGAATGGGAATTGATGAAGTTGGGCGGGTGGCGCAGTGGGGATTCTGTTAAGAATGAGAGAGAATGACACGGAGCCAACAACAAAAAAAGGTACACTAGGGTCTCATTTAAATCCATTACTTTTAAGGTGAGCTATAGTTCTTCTTGTTAGGAAAAGTACTTCAAGATTAAATTTTTTTAAGAGAATATTTATAGCAAAAAGGAAGAAAGTAAAAACCACCATCATCCTACTACCCTGTGAGAACTATTAATGATACAAGCATATTTTCAAACATTAAAATAAATATTATACTCTGCATACTGCAGACACAGTAGAGCATAATGGTTAGCAATATACAGACGTAGCTATCCACCTCCTGGTTCATCTACTTACTGTCTGTGTGTCCTCGGTGGGTAAGCTACTTATCTTTCCTGTGCCTCAACTTCTTCCTCTCTGTGATGGATATAAGAATAGCATTTATAAGTTCCAACAGCACTAATCCTCTAGTTCAGAAGTCAGCAATCTGCAGCCTGTGGGCCAGACCTGACTTGCTGCCTGTTTTCGTGAACCGTTGTATTGGAAACCAGCCATAGTCATCCATTTGTGTATCCATCTATGGCTACTTTCACACTATAATGGCAAAGTTAAGTAGCTCCAACAGAGACTATATTGCCCACAAAACCAAAAGTACTTATAATCTGGTCCTTCACAGAAAAAGTTTGCTGACCTCTAGGTCAGACCAGTAGACCTCTATTGTCTTGTCAAAATCTAGCATGTCATACATAATTCTGTGGTCATGTAATAACTTAACCAGCCTGGAGATAATGATCAAGAAAAAGGGACATCTGCAGAGCTAACATGAAAGCAAGAGGTGCTCAGTTATTTTATCAGTTAGAGATAGTTAAGAATCATGAGTAATTGAAAAATCTACAACAGTGCTTAAATGTCAAGTTATCTTCCTGAATTGACTAGAGATCTTGAAATACATGATACATGATCTCCCTTGAACTCTGGGGTGTTGACGCTGGGACATGAATGAAAGTGAATTTGTACAGAGTATCTAGTCAATAGAAATCATAGCTCTGGGGAGAAGATAAGACTGAAGAGGGAATGAAAGAGAACCCATAAACAATTGTGGCAATATTGCTTTAGAAAAGAAAAGATTGTTGCCATCTGTGTGCTCTGGGGGAGTAGTGGTACAGATGTGTGGATGCGCAGAGTGACCAGGGACTCCCTAGAGAAAAGGGAGTAGTCTGAATGAGCACAGGCAACCTGACCCAAGTCTGAGCTGTGGAAGACCATATGTGAAAAGAAAAGCGTTGGAAAAAATGAGACATCCAGGGAGGACAACTTCCCTCACAGTATGGGTAGTTCTGATCTTGAATTTAAAGATCCTCAAACTCTAAATTATTTTAGTCAAATCCAACTTTTCCATAAAATAGTGTTTTAACTAAAGGTTAGATTTTGGCCAGGTGTGTAATGTCCTTCTTTAAAAATGAAGCGACCATCAGCTACACAGAAGTTTTCTAAAATAAAAAGCCTTGAATACATTCAGCGGCTCAATGTGACCATTAAGAATAAAGGATTTCTAATCAACTGAGCCACCAAAAAAAAAAAAGAATAAAGGATTTCTATCGACTGCCTGATTTCAAATCCTGGCTCAACCACTGTTCCTTTAATCCTTCAAGTCCTAAGCCTTTTCTTATTTATAAAACAGGATTGATAAAAGTACTAACTTCGGAGGGTTTTGATGAGAATCAAATTAAATAACCGCATCAGACAAATATTACAGGCTCCTTAGAAGTGAACCATTTTGACGTGGACAAGATAGAGAAACTAATTGTGGAAAACATTTTGATAACCAATCATATAATGATACATTGTTGTACTATACTAAGTTCTTTCATTTTTGGTATTCCTACCTTACTTTTGGAGCAACAAATGTGAAGATAGGTCTTAAAAATCCTTAGAATTTAGAAGAGTAGATCAGGGAACATTTTCATAAGCATTGTATTCGTTTAGAGTACAGTTCAACTTGCTGCTGAAACAGAGACCCAAAAAATATAATGGCAAAAAAAAAAAAAAAGAAAGAAAGAAAGAAAGAAAGAAAAGCATCTTTCTCTCATACATGCCCACCCGGAGGTAAGCAGCCCAGCACTAGAAGATGGCTCTGCTCCCTGAGTGCCTCCAGGACCCAGGTTCCAGTTTTCTTGTTTCGCCGCTGTCACCTGCAGCAGGTGGTCTAGGAGAAGCTCGTTCACCAGCATCTCCTTCCATCCCTTAGGACAGGGAAGGCAGTCAATAAAGAGCAAAGCCATTTCTTTTTAAAGGATTGGATCTAGAACTTGCATACATGGCTTCTATTCCCACCTCATTGCTGAGATCTTAATCAAAGGGCTACCCATAGTTGAAAGAGAGGCTAGAAAATGTGACTGTAGCGACGTGCCCAACTAAAATTCGGTGGATTCTGTTATCAAAATGGAGAAGGAAAGAACGGATGGTAGAATCAATTAGCAGTCTCCCATAGGCATTGTCATGGAAACTAGTATTGTGTCACTGACTCTAAGACCCTATTGATTGTAAGACCCATCATTTTATGTACCACTAAGTAAGAAAAACCATGTTATGAAACATTATTAAACGTATGTTTTCTTATCAGCTCAGTTGTAGGACACGTCCCAGTTTAGGAGTGTTAAAATGTGAAAATTATGTGTCTTGAGATAGAAGAAATACAGTACTGGAAGGGCATAGGAAGAGAAGGTGATCCAAAGCCATCAATTTTGCAGTCTTCTTTTGCTTGTGTGAGTTTCCTTGGAGCAAGCATAGACAGGAGATAACAAGCTTTGTTCTACTCATCAAGTGTCATGCTTAGCCTCGGTGACGGACAAAGTACCTGCTCTTTGGCTTTGTTTCCTTTATAGTGCCTTATACATAGTAGGCGAACAGCAATATTTGTTTCATGCAATGAAAGAAAAGACTAACTTCTCGGATGGCCAAGTAGAGATGAGCTGAATTTTCCAGGATCAAAAAGGTGCTAGATTCAAATAAATGGACCAAAGCAAGTTGATACCTTCGGGGCTGTACTTGCTCTTGAATTTAAAATAATCTTATTTGTTAACATCAGGCTGATAATTTAATAAAGAAACACTCATTTGGATCCCACCTGCTTTTGCCACTTTTACGTTTATTTTCTCCAATTTAATAAATGCACAAATGTATTTTACTTTAAAACACACCTTTTTTCCTTGGTGAGCCAGAGCAGATTGGCACACAGGACTGCTGATACTCGCCTGAGAACAGCCTCTCATGCAGCAACCACATCTTTGTGAATTTGTCCTTTTATAACAGCTAGGGAATCAAACTCTCCATTCCCAGGTTTTAAGACGGAGTCGTGAAAGACCCTGGTCAGTCGTGAAAGACCCATGAAAGACTTGGTGGCTTTGAATCTGGTCAATGAAAATCTATAATATGCAGGTGTGTCTTGCTGTATTTGCTACTGAAATCTGCTTCTCTTATATAGATCACTGTTACAGATGAGGAAGTTAGTAACCCATCCTTTTTAGATCTGGTGAGGACTCCCCAAATGAGGAAGTGCACACTTATTCTTATGTTTGCTTGGTAAGTCTGACTTGTGATGGGCTCAAAAGCTTGTATTGAATTTACAACGCGCCCCTTCCTTCAGAGCAGACTGAAGTTATGTCTTACTTGGTCTCCGTTGTCTTTCAATGTCCCTCCAGGTTCACAAGTGCGGTGGTGTATCAAGGACTCGTCATGCGCCTAGGAATTATAGGAGGCAACCTCTATATCGACTTTTTCATCTCAGGAGTTGTGGAGCTGCCCGCGGCCCTGCTGATCTTACTGACCATTGAGCGTTTCGGACGACGGCTTCCCTTTGCAGGAAGTAATCTAGTGGCAGGGGTCGCCTGCCTTGTCACTGCATTCTTACCTGAAGGTAATAGTCCCCCAAATCTGTCCGTCACTCAAGAACGTGAAATAGTCTTAAATCACAATAATCAAGAATGGGGAGCCTCTTGTCCTTAGATAATGTACCACTGCCTCAAAATCCTGGTACCAGGCAACCTGTGGTGATGTCACCCAATTTTCTGCTTAAGCAGTGTAATGACTCTGAGTACAGGGATTGGTTCTACAGTTTCTTCTGTTTTCTCCATTTTAGGTTCAATTATGGATGAAATAGATGTTGTGCAGATGTTGTACACTAGCTTGTAGTCATGTAGTTTAGTATTGATCACCTTTATTTGACTGACTTTCATGCTCTCATTGACCATGGTTGCCGTATTTCCTGATTACCGGCCGTGTCACTGGCCCCATGCAAAATACCAGGGTTACAAAAGGAAGAAATTAAGACACTTGTTGACTTCAGAATGTTCACAACCTAGTAAGGGATATGGACACTTCATTTTTTAAATTTGTTTTTCTTCCAAGTTTTTATTTAAATTCTAGTTAGTTAACATACAGTGTAATATTAGTTGCAGGTGTAGAATTTTGTGATTTGTCACTTACATAGGACACCCGGTGCTCCTCACAGCAAGTGCCCTCCTTAATGCCCATCCCCCATCCACTCCATCCCCTGCCCACCTTCCCTCCAGCAGCCCTCGGTTTGTTCTCTATAGTTAGCAGTCTGTTTCCTGTTTTGCCTCTTCTCCCTCCCCACGTTCAACTGTTATGTTTCTTAAGTTCTACATATGAGTGAGATCATATGGTATTTGTCTTTTTCTGCCTGACTTATTCCACTTAGCGTTATACTCTCTAGCTCCATCCACATCATTGCAAATGGCAAGGTGTCATTCTTTCAGTCTTTTATATGGCTGAGTAATATTCCGTTACACCCACACATACACATACCCCACATCTTCTTTATCCATTTATCAGTCGATAGACATATGGATATTTGGGCTCTTTCCATAACTTGGCTTTTGTTGATAATGCTGTTCTAAACATTGGGGTGCATGATATAGATACTTTAATGCTTTCACAACTCACTGTGATACGTGAAATAACAGAATTAGTTACAGTTAAACCTTGTCATAGGAGTGGGGCTGCTGGCTCTCTGCGTGGTCGAAAACCTGCATATAACTTTTGACTCCTCAGAAACTGAACTGCTAATAGCCTACTGTTATTTAGAAGCCTTATCTATAACAAAAGAGTTGATAAACACATACTTTCTATGTTATATGCATTATATACTATATTCTTACAATAAAGTAAGTTAGAGCAAAGAAAATGTTATTAAGAAAATCATAAGGAAGAGAAAACACATTTGTGGTAGTGTAGTGTAAATACTGTCTGCACATACGTGGACCCACTCAGTTTAAACCTGTTGTTCAAGAGCCAGCTGTACCAGATTTAGAAAAATAAAGCTCTCTGAAGACTCTACGTGATTTAGAAAAATAGGTACAAGGAGTGATCAGGAAAAGCTTTCCAGAGGTGAGAACTAGGCATGAATGAAAAAGGAAGAGAGATATACTAGACAGGAGTGCCTGGCTGACTCAGTCAGAAGAGCATGAGACTCTTGATCTCAAGTTCATGAGTTCGAGCCCCACATTGGGTGTAAAAATTACTAAAAAATAAATAAATAAATAAATAAACTTTAAAAAAGAAAAAAGAAATGCACAGACAGAAGTGAAAGGTAGGAGAGATTTTTTTCCACAGTAGAGCATGGCTCTCAGAAGTATGAACCATCTTTGAGGGATCTGGAACCACACGTTCTCTGTTATCACTCGAATATCCCCAAAAAGGGGCTGAGGATTGCCTGCCACCAGCAGTGACTGGCCTCACAGGCCAGACTGGGAGCTGGGGCATGGCCCCGTGAGCTTACTTGTAACCGCATCGGGTTGGGTGGTGGCAGTGAGGAGGGAGAGATGCCCAGAGCAGGAATGAAGGTCATGGTAGTCGGCGCAGGTGGGAGACGGTGATTTCAGGAATGTCAGAGGTCAGGGGGGCTTGATGACCAAGGTGTGCTGTAGAGGTAGCAGTTGCCCCCAGATGCATGGTTAACACAACCCACTTTATCTTTGCCACAGGACACAGCAGACCCTGGACAGGGAAGCCCTTCAAAGTCCCAGGGAACATGCGAATTAGAGCAAGCTCCTTATTTCCATGTGCCAGGGCATGGGGCTTGGGGGTTACTGAGAGAACGGATTCTCTGGGAGTCCTTGGGTCAGCCCCAGAGAGGCTGTCTTTTCTTTTGAGAATCAGCTGAGGATCAAGAAAGAAGGGATAATATTATAGAAGTGAAAATAGACATTTACAGAGTTTATTAATTATATGTAGGTTTATGAAGTCCCAAAACGCTATTTAAATAAAATTATAGAAATGTCCATCTTCAGACCAGAAAATTTAAAAAAGATGTAAAGTCTTCTGTCCTTTTGGAATGGCGGACGATAAATAGAACTGTATTTACACCGAGCTCACTTTCCTCGAGTATACTAGTTTTGTAGGGGCTGCAGTAACAAAGTACCACACCCTGGGTGCCTTGGAGCAACAGAAATTCTCTCACAGTGCCGCAGGCTGGAGGTCTGAAATCCCCATGTGGGCAAGGCCGGGCTCTCTCTGAAGGCTCTAGGTGAGCATCCTTCCCGGGCTCTCCCCGACTTCCGGCGGTTGCTGGTAACCCCAGGCGTTCCTTATTATCCCAATATCTACCTCCATCTTCATAAGACCCTCTCTTCTCTGCATCTTAACCATCATACTTGCAAAGACCTGTTTAGAAATACGGTCACATTCTGGGTTCTGGGTGGACGTGAGCTTTGGGGAACGCTATTCAACCCACTACATTGAGTTGAAACATTTTTCTAAGAGTTGGGGAATCTGTGTAACACCTGTTGGCCAATACATGTCTTTTTAGTTTCTATTAATGGCCACCACTAAACTAGGAGTGGGAACAGAGCCTGGGTGGCTCAGTTGGTTAGGCGACTGCCTTCCACTCAGGTCATGATCCCGGAGTCCCGGGATCGAGTCCCGCATCGGGCTCCCTGCTCGGCAGGGAGTCAGGAGTCTGCTTCTCCCTCTGACCCTCACCCTCTCATGTGCTCTCTCTCATTCTCTCTCTCTCAAATGAATAAATAAAATCTTAAAAAAAAAACAGAGAAGTAAACAAGATAGACGTAACTCTTGTCCTTGAGAATAATGCACAATTTAAGTAGAAGGGGGACAAATGGGGAATGTTGGAGATTTCACTCTTGTTTCCATTTTACTTTAACATTGTATCATTTTGGGTTTAATTCTCTACAGTGAGGTCTTCTGTTCTTGTGGCATGTGGAATAAGAATTAAGTATTTGTTGCACATGAAATCAGGGACTTGGTTAATGTCTTTTTTTTTTTTAAGATTTTATTTATTTATTCATGAGAGACAGAGAGAGAGAGAGAGGCAGAGGGAGAAGCAGGCTTCCCGCAGAGCAGGGAGCCCGATGTGGGACTCGATCCCAGGACCTGGGATCATGACCCGAGCCGAAGGCAGACGCTTAACCAACTGAGCCACCCAGGCACCCCGGGACTTGGTTAATGTCTTATGGGTGGAGAAAGGTTAAGGACTTATGGGTGGCCCATCATTTCATGGTATAACATTGCCCTGGAAGATTCTCTCTGGCCCCAGACTGATTGGGGTGATTTTGATTTGCACCGCCTTCTACATGATCCCAGAGAGCATTCTAGACCATATGTCCGCACCAATGTTGGAGTAACTAGATGAGTGGGAATCAAGTGATTTTGTAGAGAACACTTTCCTATATGGAAAAACATAAGGCAAAGAGCAGACTTTTCTGTTTGGGCTGATCAGTTTTATTTTGAAGATATAATTTCCTGATTTCAGCTTTAAAATTGTTCTCAGCGATACTGAAAAATTATTATGCTCTTATTCTAGGCACACCTTATTTGTGTATTCCCAGATTCGGCTGCTTGAATAGTCATATGTCAGTCATGATTGGCAAGAATAAATTCACATCCCTAATGCTCCTTGCGAGTAACCACATTTTAAGAGCTGTTCCTCACTTCATTGGCAGCCCTTCTCCTTAAGGGAGCTTTTGGACTTGGTTACTTGGGCTGATGAATTAACATTAGAAAGACTTCTCCTCTCAGTCATTCTTGACGTCAGGAACAGGGGACAGCCCCTGAGGGGAATGCTGATTAGGCTTCTAGAGGAATCAGCTCTAAAATTATTGAGAACAATTTAACTGGCTTTCCCTCCACTAAGCACAACTTTCTGTGGTCTGAAGAATGAGATTCTGGAAGAAGAAAGCCTTTCTGGCTGTATCTTCACTTAAACCTCACTGCTTTTGACCCCAATTTTTGAACTCTGATTAAAGTCTGAAAACCAGAAGGTTTTCTTTGTCCATAGCGGTCTGGTCTGCGTCTTTCATTCAGATTTGTTTAGGATGGCTACAGACCTAGCCGCTGGGTTAAGTACTCTTTTTGAAGCCAGAGAGCTGCCTTTTACTTTTATTTCTTTTAAGTGAAAAGCCAGCCAATGTATCTTAATTTACATATCCCTAGTACAAATTTTCACTACATTTTATTTCAGAACTCAAAGCAGATGGTACATTCAGAGATGTCAGAGAGTGTTTCTTTAAAATCCTGCATCCTGGGGCGCCTGGGTGGCTCAGTCATCGAGCGTCTGCCTTCGGCTCAGGTCATGATCCCGGGGTCCTGGGATCGAGCCCCGCGTCAGGCTCCCTGCTCAGCGGGAAGCCTGCTTCTCCCTCTCCCACTCCCCCTGCTTGTGTTCCCTCTCTCGCTGTCTCTCTGTCAAATAAATAACATCTTCAAAAAAAACAAAATAGAATGCAGTCACAGTGGGGCGCCTGGGTGGCTCAGTCAGTTAAGTGTCTGACTCTGGTTTCAGCTCAGGTCATGATCTCAGGGTCATGAGATCAAGTCCTGCATCTGGCTCCTCGCTCATCTTGGGGAGTCTACTTGAGATTCTCCCCTCTCCCTCTGCCTGCCACTCCCCCTGTTTGTGCTCTCTCTCTCTCTCTGCCAAATAAATAAATAAAGTATTAAAAAAAATCCTGCATCCTCTTCTTCAAAAATTGAGGTATTATTTCCAGTAATCTCCAGTCCCTTGACTGAACCCCTGTACAGAGGGTCCGTCTTTCTCTCTGTTCTCGGGGCTCCATGGAGAGAGTTCCAGCGTCTGTACTCATTTGTAAATTGTCTTGTGTTCTTTTGTCATTTCTACTAAAGGCGTCTTCTGCCGCCCTAAGATGAATGCAGCTCATCACTGGGATGATCAGAAGTTTCTGTTTGCATACGTATTATTCACACATCGTTTACACTTCCTAACAAACTGCTTTCATTTCACTCCTAGTGAATCAACAGCACAGTGCCTCTGGAACTTGTGTTTTATTAAACATTTCACCAAAATCTCTAGCTCAGTGTGGTTAGACAGGGGCTCTGCTGCTTAGAAGGAGTTGAGAGGCTTTCAGAGTCCAGTCAGCATGTAGGATAAACCACATCTCCTCAAGGGTGTCCGCTTGACAGCGTTTTCTGAACATTTTACTCACTTGACTGGTTATTTATCTGTATCCACTGAGCTAATCACATGTTGTGTGTGTGTGTGTGTGTGTGTGTGTGTGTGTGTGTGTGTGTGTGTGTGTGTTTTCATTTGGTTTCTTGGTTTTTGTTTGGTTCTCTCCAGCAAACAGTTCTAGCCTCTGTTGTAAACTTCAACTGGCATTGAAGTTGTCCTCGGAACTCACAGAGTCGTCTTGATTCAGTAGAAATAAACCTATAACTTAAGAACTTAACCTGGGTAATCAAGCTATTTCCACAGTAGCAGGCAACATTCTTTGCAGCCTGAGAGCAGCGAAAGGTTGCCCAGTCGGGCTGGGACCCAGGGAATCTGGGCGAGAGCTCCCACGTTCCGTTCCCTGGCACCTGGCATTGTACCACCTGCTCATTGAAGGCTGGGGCGGAATGCATTTCCTGGTCCCCCTCCCTGGCCTTCATGAAAAGGCAAAGCCTAAATAAAACACATGTTTACAACCGTTCCATGCCAGAGCAGATGGCAGCCCGGCACATCAGCGCAACACTGATATTCCTCACCCCCTGATGTAACTGTTGATGGGAGAGCTACAGGTGTTCTCATCCGGGAAAAACGTCAAGTATGCCAGGACGTCCTCGGCCGGTGTGCAAGCAAAATGTAATTTTGTAGTAATAAACTGGAGCCTCCCAGCAACGATCTTAAACTATCTTTTTCTGTGCTCGCCCTCCTAGGCAATTGTATTATTTAGTGAGTTTTAGCTTTTTTTAGTTGTTGACTCTTCTCTAGGGAATACACATACATCTACTGAGCTTGATTCTCTTCTGTCCTCCTCTGCATTCATGCCTACTTTTCCACCAAAAAATCATTTTTCAGGAAGGGGCAATAATTCTTCTCAAAGATAAGAGGACTGTTTAGTGCTGGGTGAGCATAAATAAATATGAGTATAAAAGGGAAAAGGTTTCCTTTTCAAAGACGAAAGTCAGAACGTCCGTAGCTTTGCTTTGGAGAGCAGATAGGTGCTTACCCGTGCAGTCCCATGTCCTCACACCCATGTCCATGAAGGAAGTCTGGCATAAACTGTGCTCTTAAGAGGTTTAGAGCACTGACTTTGTAGGGCAAAAATGGTTTACTCCTTCTTCCTTTAAAACTCAAAAGAAAGAAAATATTTAATGAAGAACATTTGTTTTTTTGCACTACTCACTGTGGAGGCAAGGAGAATTTCCTCATATAACCAGTGCAGCCCTAATGTAATTCATTTTTAAATGAAGGAACCCACTAATCTTTAAGAATCTGGTTCCTTCTGGATGATTTCTTGGGGGAAGTAGCAAGATGGGGGACATACACTCTAGTGATAACACAAGGCTTAAATGTCCCCTTCCAAAGGTTCTGGTCCTCAAAACCTTTGCTACCTTCCAGAAACCAACATCAGCTTCATGTCGATTTCTCCTGGTCGGCTAGGAATAGCTGTTCTGTGTGCTATCACTAGGGGAGGGAACGGAGAGAGGACAAATGGGTACCAGGCTGCAATAATGGTTCTCAAGGGCTCAAGTGAAGACCACCTTCCAGATAAACAGCCAATGCACTCAGGCCCTCTAGGAAAACTGCCTGGAACACTGTCTTTTCAGTCTGGTGGCTGCTCAACAAATGATTCTTGAATCGTATTCCCATCCTCTAGCCCTGCTCAGAAAGGTGACTGACACCCTAAATATTAGCGATCATCCTGGTGGTTGTTGTTGCTGTTAAGATTTGCTTACGATATTAGGAGGTATCTGTCATCCATGCTTAAAATTAGCAAAGACTTAGGGCCCAGGAGAACACGAAGCAAATGCCTTTTGTTATTTTGTGATATTTTGTTGAAAGCAGACCCCTAACTCTTTGCTTCCAAATTTTCTGTGTTCGCAGGAATACCCTGGTTGAGAACCACAGTTGCGACCCTGGGAAGACTAGGGATAACCATGGCCTTTGAAATTGTTTATTTGGTAAATTCAGAATTGTACCCAACAACATTACGGTAATTCCAACCTATATGTCATGGTTTCTCCTAAGTAATTCTGCAGCCAAACGTTTTGACTTAAAAGCCATGAAATAGTTTCCTTAACTTGGTGATATATTAGCCTGGGCTGATTTTAGCCAGAAAAGAAGATGTGCTTTGAGTTATGGCTGCTTTCTGCATTGCTACCTTCCGCATTTTTTGAAAGAAGTATTTCTCATACCAGTATCTTTATACATAGCTGTGGTTTTGTGGGCTCAGATAATCTGATTAGAGAACTTGCTTAGATGTGGGTTAAAACTGTCTTCATCAGCATCACCCTGTTTAAAGGCTACAGCCTCTGTTCGGACCACACTCCACATCTTGCCACTGTGCGCAGCTGATTAATGTAGGACAGAGTGAAACAGTGTGCATGGGCTGCAGATTGGCCTCCTTTCCTGGGGGAATATTCGTGGCCACACCTTACTGTCAGGTGAGGCTGCCAAGGCGCCACAGCAGCATTGTGGAGTGGGCTTGGGAGTGAGCCACCAGTGGGATAATTTCCACCTCACCGTCCTCACTGTGATTCAGCTTTGCCCAGGTGTGAAATGGGGCAGAATGGAAGTGATTTGCTTAGAATATGGGAGTCATAGCAGTTTTCAGAGGTAAAAACTATAGAAATGGGAAATATTACTAAAATATCTTAGTTACATAGCTGAATATTTTACTTATCTTGAATATAGTTAAATATTTTTTATTTAAAACAATTTTTTACTCTACAGAAACTTTGGAGTTTCTCTTTGCTCAGGTTTATGTGATTTTGGGGGGATCATAGCCCCGTTCCTGCTCTTCCGGCTAGCAGCCATTTGGCTAGAACTACCTCTTATCATCTTTGGTAAGAACTCGTTTTGTACATTATTCCTAAATGCTTTCACCTCTATTCTTTGTATTGATAGAACTCTATAGTGATTATTCGGTTTGCTATTAATGAGATCATTTAAGTTTTTAATGACAACCACTTGAGTTTTGAGTAGCCCATCCGATTGCGAAGAAATGTGAAACACTAAATGCTTTTAATTTATTTTACATTAAAGTGTCCTGATGAGTCGTGTTCAATTTAGCTTTCTTTGTTTAGGTTCTGAGTTAAATTCCAGGACTATAAAAGTCTTATGATGTTGGGGAACAGATCCAATAACTTTCGGGGGACCAATTTGGACCTTTAGTTTGTTTCAAAATAAGCCTAAAAACTAATTACATTTTTAAATGTCCTGTATCTGTTGAGATCATGTCTTCATTTGCTTTGGTGTGGAGCATGCTGTGCCGAAGGAACAGAGGACACAGAATCCCTTGCCTGAGTACCCAGTAACCTCTGTGTTGGCCCTCAGGTTCATACCCTGCTTCCTACTCCAATCTCCACAGGCCACATGAGGGGATAGAACCATAGCTTAGGGGCAGGGGGCTTAGGATAATTCCGTCCAGTGCTTCTCAAGTGCTGTTCTAATCTTTCTGCCTGGGTCGCACACCCACCTCTACCCTCCTCAGCAAGGAAGAACACAGGTGGGCCCCTTTCTCATGTATTCTTCCTCCACATCTGCATCCTCACTCCTGGTAGAGAAGTAAGTTTTTCACGTATTGCCCTGCAGTTTAAATTACAATGAAAATATTGAGTCCATGAGGACATACATCCTGAGTAATGCAAAATCCCTAACAGTGCTAGCTAGCTGGGGATAGTAAAGCTTCTAACCACCTGACATCACCGAACTCAATACAAGATTATTTCAAATTATTTCATGGGATCTGATAAACAAGCTCAGTGTTGATTCTGTGGCCAGCATGAAAAAGCAAAGAGAGTGCCATTGTTCAACCCAAAGCAAGTGGTCTGGGAGCCCAGTGTTTCAAGGTCTCGACCTGGCCTCCAGAGAGTGCTGGGAGAGCCGGCCCTTCCTGCAGAGTCTGGCTGCCGAGAGAGCCACACTTCCGAGCCATGGAGCCGTCGGTCACATCACAGTGTGATTAATCCAGAAAGCAGAAGGTGCTGGAGGGAGCACAGCACAGGGACACCTGACCTGCCTGAGTCAAGGAGGAAGGAAGAATGTCTAGTTGAGATCTGAGACGAGTAGAAATTCCCCACATGGGGAGTGTGGTCTGGGGCTCTAGGCAGCGGGAAGGCCAGTTAGAGGACAGAGACAGTGAGTGCGCTGGGGCAGGGAGGGAGGTGAAGCTGGGAGGCAGGCATGGGCCAGATCAGGAAGGGTCTTCCCTGCCCGGCGGTTTGCTCTCTATCCAAACAGCAGTGGAAGCTAAGAGCTCTAAGCTGGGATTGACAATGCTAGGTTTGCATTTTAGAAGTCCGATCTGCAAATAGGTTGCAGGGGGACAGTGCTGGTCGTGAGCCAGTTTCATCAGGTAAGGGCTCCTGGCAGCTGGGGTGAGGGCGATGACACAGGGAGTGTTGGGCGTGGAGAGATTCAAGAAATGCATTAAAGTAAAACCGGCGAGAGGGATGAGTGAGTGGGCTTGCTAGAGCCAGAGGGGGGTGGGAGGGCTGGGTTCCTGGCTGGGAAAGGGGGAGACTTGGGCCTCAGAAGCAGAGCCAGTGGGTCTGGAGCTGGAGGGAGCAGGGCAGGAGCTCAGAAGGCAGATGCAAGAGAGAGCAGGCGGAGGTGAGGCCGGACTCATGGAGGCGAGTGCTGGTGCTGGTGCTGGAGCTGGCCAGCACCCACCTGCCAAGGCCGACTGCGGCGTTTTCAGGAAATGTTTGAACCCAGTTGTTAACCTGGCCATTATTAAAACACATATATCAAATAGATTAAAAACAGAGGTAATAAATGCTCAAAACCCATTTACATCTCCCGGTTACGGGTGTCCTTCAGGTTATTTTTGGCTCGTGTATCCTTCTGGGGGAAATGCTATACACAGGGTGTCACTGCACAGCCCTTCCCAGCGCCTCGTGCGGGGATGTCGTGGCACTAGCATGAAATGCCCACGGCGAGAGTCCTTACACCATGGAAATCGGCAAATGCTGCAAGTTGGGGCTTTATTTTCTGGAGAGTTGGTTGGTAAACATTCACCAGCGTAAGTGGACAGAATAGGGAAGGATGGCGTTTCCAGAATTTCGGCTCTAAAGACCAGCAAAGGGGGGAATGGTGACCGGAGGATCCCGTGAGGTGGCTAGAAGGGTCCCTGCGATGGGAGGCTTGCGTCTGGTTCAGTGCTTCCACCAGCTGGAGTGAGGGGGTTCATGGCTACACGGAGGAGCCCGGAAAGCCTCCAAGAGATGGCCGGTGGGCTGCAGTGGCCGCAAGTCTGACCGTGTGACATGGCCCAATAAGGAAAGGGACAGAGAGCATGCAGTAAAGCTCTTGGTCAGTAAAAGGAAGCTGAGGGGAATTCCTGTCTGGTGGCTGCCATTTTCCCTGAGAGGCCGGAGGTGAGGTCTTCTGTGAGGGGTCGGCCCTTAGGCATCCATTACGTAATTGTTCGGGGAGTGAAGGAATGGATGTGTGCAAGAGTACTGGGGTGATGGGGCTGCACGGCATCCAAGGAAAGTAGGGAACACTTCAAATAGTGGCAGAGGAAAACTGGAGAGCTGGTTAGGGTAACCCGAGGGCTGCTGCTGGTGAAGGCTGGTTAAGGGGAGTAAGCAAACTGCTCCGGGGTGAGCAGGGAGGGGCGACAGGGGCTGCTGTGCCTTCCTGAGGCTCTACTGCTGTTCCCAATTCCATAGGTATCCTGGCATCGGTCTGCGGTGGGCTTGTGATGCTTTTGCCCGAAACCAGGGGTATTGCCTTGCCAGAAACAGTGGATGATGTAGAAAAACTTGACAGGTATTGTATGAATTTCAGTGCATCTTAAATAAAAGCAGCATTTCAAACTGCTGAGGAAAAAATACCATGGAGAAAACTGAACACTCACGGGGCGGGGGGGGGGAATGATATTAATTCCCATCTCACATCCTAGGGAGAAAATTCACATTTGATTTAGAAGGTTAATATAAGGGGCGCCTGGGGGGCTCAGGCATTAAGCATCTGCCTTCGGCTCAGGTCGTGATCCCAGGGTCCTGGGATGGAGCCCCGCATCGGGCTCCCTGCTCAGCGGGGAGTCTACCTCTGCCTCTACCTCTCGCCTCCACTCGTGCTCTCTCTCTGGCTCTTGCTCTCTCTCTCTCTCAAATAAATAAACAATCTTTGAAAAAAAAAGTTAATATAAAAAAAGCAAAACTATAAAAGAATGTATATTATTTTTTAAATGAGGTTATGAAGAGGGAAACATTTCTAAGTAAGGTGTTAAAACTCAGAAACAATCTAAAGGAAAGGACATCGAAAGGAAAGCAGAAATAATTTACATGTGCATCAGTAGGAAACTGATTATGAAAATGCTAATGTGTTCATGGTGTGGATTACTATATAGAGATGAAAAGAATTGAGATATATCTGTGTGGAATGACATGGTAAGATCTTCAAGATTGATCACAAAGTGAAAAGTTGCTGAACGGTGTGTTATAGTATTTATTAAAAAATCAAGACAATAACAACCCCTCTCTGTAGCTAGATGGGAAGATGGAGGACGGAAAGAGAGAGGGAAAGATGATGGACAGACGGATGGTAGGTGGATGGGGGGGTGGATGGGTGGATAAAAGTAGATAGAAGTTTGGGAAGGAGCGAAAGAGAGAGGGATTACGAGAGAGAGAAGAGCATCTAACTCGTGTGCAAGGAAAGTTAATATCCAACCAATACATAAATATGAAGAATTATATCAACAAAAATTCGCACAACACAAATTCTAATTTCCTCTGCTTAAAAATTTTCATAATAAAAAGAGGATATGAACATGAGAATGTGTAGCAAAAGATCTAATATTGTAATACAGACCCTTTGAGGTTAGAAATGAATTGGGAAGAAGACATCACTTTCACACTCTGTAACTTTTGTCTTATTTGATTTATTTTCTAATTACAACCCGTGGCCTTATATTATCTGCATAATTCAAAAAATAACATAACAACTGATTGTTAAAATAAAATCAGCTGTCTAAATAAAGACCTAGAAATTGAGGATGTGGATCCCTAAATATTAAAAAATTTTGCCTCAAAAATATTTATAAGAAGACTGAAATGTGATAACCTCCTGGCACTCTTCACTCATAGATGGAGAACAGGGGAGAAGCTGAGAATTTTTAAGTGCCTATATGATTGGTGGTTTCACATATGTCTTTTCACTTAATACTCAAAATGATTTTGGGCAATTGCAATTCTTATCCTCACTCTTTTAAATACTAGGAAATTTGTGCTGAGAATGATTCACAACTTTTCCATGCCAGGACTGGCATTGACGCTGTCCAGGGGGGCACATGTGACTTGGTTGTTTGTGTGCCTTTCTTGTTTTATGCTGTATACTACTTGATGTTTTCTTTTCAAATTCTCTTTTAATGTGGTATCATCACCTCCCCAGAGGTAGGCAACCGTTGCTTAGAGTCTCATGAGTCTTTTACCAAACCTTTAAAACTTATGTACTGATTTCATTGGATTTTATTGTCCTGTTTCTTGATGTTATTTTGTAAAGTATGATTGCTTAATCATCCCAGAACTTTCCCAAGAAAGACTTATCAGTGTATTTAAAATAAAACCATCAGCTTATATCTCAGCAGCTGACTTATAACAGGACTGGCCAGTCAGAGGACTGGGGGACATTTGCCCCATAAAGTCATCCAAACAGATTCTTAAGATTGTTTGGAAATCAAGTGATGAGTGATGGCTTATTTCTCACCCAAAGCTCTACCTAGTTTTCACCCTAGAGCAATGCTACCTGAAATTTAGAGTGAGACGGAAGATTTTCTTCAAGATCTTGCCATTTTGTCAATCAAAATTAAGAAATTTATAAAAGGTGTTAAAACTGTGTGAAATCCTCTTGAGCGTTATGCCATTGTAAGGTCCTGCCTCATCCAGAACAGAGGAACATTTTGCTGACTGTGTCTTCCTAGACAATTGCTTGGCTTGTATTCGAGTTTGGGGGCCACGTCAGGGTGGGTGGCATCCCGTCCTGTCACATAAAGAACTTAGATGCTATAATGCTACTTAACCCCTGCCCAGGGACCAAAACAGGTAAAAGCAAACAAACAAAAACTCCAGGAGACAGTCATTTTCATTACCTTTGAATTGGGTTTTTATGAGAAGTTATGCATGAGTGTGTTTGATGAAAACGAGTTTTATTGGTGAGTAGTAGCAAGAAAACTCTGTTGGAACTAGTTGCATAATATTTCATAAGGACTTTCTCTTCTCTCCTTGTTTTGTTAGTCCATATACCTATACATGTGGCAGGAAAAAGAAAACTCAAGTTTCCAGTTCACACCTTTGAGGCCCCCTACCAAAGACAAAAGGAAGGAGCTCTTTAGGTTGACCCCTCCCAAGGAACCGATGTGCCTTGCAGACACATGTGTGTGTCCATTTCCGCTACATTATGCTCCAAGTGTTTGTCATACTGTACAAAGACATTCAAACTATCCAGAGTATTTTTATATAATGCGGGATGAGTTAGGATTTAGAGTGCTGTTGACATTTCTGGGAACATAGTATGTGACTGGTTTAGCAAAGAGCCTGTTGTGTGGACAGCTCCCCCTGAGTTTTTTTCTGAAGTTGGAGCAGTGTCTCCCACCCATTCAGTGATAGAGGGACAAGAGAAGCCTTCCCCAAATTCTCACGACCGCTCGCTCCATCACAGAGGCAGGATGTGCCAAGTGGGCATCTGGGAACGGGATGCAGAAATGGGTTCATCAGACCCGAGTAGAACTGAAGCTCTGACCGGAGGGCTCTGAAGATTTCAGGGAGGATGAAGATCTGGAAATCCTGTTCATGAAGAGGCTGAATCAAAAGACATTGGGCCACATGATACCGAGCCTTTCCTTTCTCTTCTCGTTTCGAGCTCTGTAAGCCGCTGCAGCATCTGGGCTTGCCAGCATGTTCAGGCTTGATTCCATAATTAGGAACAAATCCGCTGTCCAATTTGAGGATTTGGCTCTATTATTTCGTCAATCAGTTTTGGGCCTGCGATGATTCAGGAATAGTTTGGGTCCTCCTTTAGTGGACAGCTAAAGCCACACACTCAGTTCTTTTTTGAACAAAACCCATGGATAATGATTTCATGGGTCTTAATTTTGATCTTAAAGGGATATTTATCTTATATTTGTGAGTTCAGTTCTAGGATGTGGTCAAGAGTGAAAAACATGTACTGTTCGATCTTGACCCTTTTCAATCTTGACCTTTTTAACTTGTCTTGAGAAAAAGCTTCTATTTTAATTTAAAAGGAAGGTCACTATATCCATGCATAAAAGAATTATCAGAAGCTTTATAAGTGATGTCATAGACACTAATAAGGGATTTGATCTTTCTTTTTTGTTACTGAGACTTTTGAAATATGGAGTTTAAATGCAAATATGCTCTCATTTTTCTGTTGTTCTGCTTTATCTGTTATATTTGTTGTATTTTCAGATTCAGTATATATCTTATGCAGAATTTTTTAATGAACTATTTTGTGTGGATAGACAAAATGGGCACCAAGGGAAATCTTGCCAACGAAGAAGAAAATTCCATGCGAACACATGACAATATGTACCGTGTGTGTGTGCCAACTGTAAGCTAAGCTTTTTAATCCTTAAAACACAACAGAATTGAATATGAATGTTTGGTTTTTCAATGAAATAAGCACCGCTCTTTGAGGACTTAATGCTGCAGTCCCCCCTTATGCCTGCACACGTGCATTTTTGCTCTCTCTGCATCTCTCCTTGCTGTAAGATGACTGTTCCTCCTTGATACGCTCACCTTGGAATTGTACTTTGAGTTGATATTTTGGTTCTGGTAACAATAAAGAATTTTAAATTGTCAAGTAACATCGGTGTCTCTTCTCTCTCTTCCTTGTGAACGTTGTCACTGTAAAACTCTCTCCCCACCTGACAGTGTATATTTCCTATCCGGGCAGCCCATTAGCAGTGGAAATTAAGCAGTCCACTTTCAATATATGTTCGTTGTTCCTTCATGGGCTCTTGGTACCATTCCTAGACTCAGATGTGACCCAGAATAGCATTCAGCCTCGCTACTGGTCTTGTATTACACTTGCAATGCCCGTTCCCTTCGCGCGTGCGGCTCTCTGCCCAGTATCCCCTGTGCTGGGCTAACGTCAAGTTGCCAGTAACAGATTTCATTCCCAAGAATAGAATTTGTTCTCATGACTACCCATACATGCTGCAGCTTTGAAAACATTCATCTCAGTGTCAGGAATAAAGACCTTATAAGATGTATGTCAAGCCATCTTTTGCAGATAAGATAAATATATGGGTGACTTCCTGGGACTTCCCTGCTCTCTTCTCTATGATCTTAGAGGCTTCTTGGTCCTTTTTGGCAACTATGCCTATGAGAAAGAGAGAAATCACCTAAGTCTGTGAGAGTTACACTATTTAAAATTGGTAGGCTAAACGAAGAACACGAAAACAATGAAGCTCAAAAAAATTAAATCAAAGGCAGGACAGGGTTTATTTTCAACAAATGTTATAGATGTGTTACTTTATTATTACAGAATGCAACAGTCCACGGATGGGAAAAATTTATCCACAATGATACTAAAAAACGTTGAGGTCTGTCAGTGGATGTTATAAGTACAGTGTCTTAGTTTGATTACTGTCAATTATTTCTGAGCGCGCTGACTTCCCTACCCAGCTTCCAGCTTCTAGATATGTTGAGGAATCACTCTGGCTCCCATCCACTTAATTATTTCTCATTATTCCTTCAATCCAAGTAACAAACCTTGACACACGAACATAGACACCAGGCTTATTGGGGCGGGCACAGCCAAGACCCCAGGAAGTGACTCCTTGTAAAATGTACTTGTCCTTCTCGAAGCAAACCAGAGGCCCTCCACTGTCACCCTATACAGAGAGGGGGGGCGGAAAACAAACAAACAAACACCTCACCATGTGAGGATGAAACCACCATCCTTTTATTATGGCGTATCATCCTTCTATTATCCAAATGTAAGTTTTCCCGGTATTTGAACATTCTCTTCCAATTAGAAAGGAACTTATTAATAGATCATTTGAATATCTGCTATATTCAGCACTTAACAAAGTATATTTATCAAAACCACACCATTTAGTGTTCCTGGGGAAAAACTCCCTTGTGAGTGCTGTACTCATCCCTTCCTGCCTCGAGGCTTCTCTTAGGCAGAGGAAACCCCAAAAGCAATTGCAAAGGGGGTGCAGTTGGTCTTTGTCTCACACGCTCCCTGGCTTCCCTGCTAGAGAGGCCACCACCTGGGTCCCCTCCACCAGCACGCCCCCCCCAGAGGATGCACGGGCTGTGGCAGTGACGGTACGCTAACTCCTCCCTCACCACCGACCTGGAACTCAGGGCCCAAGAAATCCCCGTACGTGATCTCAATCTGAATGCAGGGACAGACCTAAAATCTTTCTGGGTAGCATTTGGAAGGTGGCCTGCAGTTGACAAAGCCTTCCGGAATTTGCTGTTTGGGGCCTGAAATATTGAAGAGGCCAAGACAGAAGATTGACTTGGTTCTTACCTGACAACTGTCGGTGCCTCCAGCCAAATTCCCAGCACACAGCTCTGTCGATTTGACTCTTCCATTCAGATACTCATAGCGATTGCACACCTTGTTTTCGATCACAGGCAGCTGGGCTTCCTTGAGGAGACCCACGCCAAAGGTGCCTGTGTTTAAAGAGAGTAAAGAAATGGTTATACTGGATCCCAAACATGCCCACAAGAACAACAGAGCACAGTGACAGATCTCTTGTTTGTCCGTGAGGTGTGAGGTCGTATAAAGCAAGAAGTCAGTTCCTGATACTACTGGAATGCTTTTCCTGTTAACCCTTGAGGGTATAGACATTACACAAGAGTTCATGTTCCCAAGACCTGGATTTAATAATCTGGGTTTCTTGACGGTGTTTAGGGGTACATGTTGTTATTTTTGTTTCTTTTTTTTAACTATAAAGAAATATTTTGGGGGGTGCCTGGGTGGCTCAGATGGTTAAGCGTCTGCCTTCAGCTCAGGTCATGATCCCGGGGTCCTGGGATCGAGCCCCGCATCGGGCTCCCTGCTCAGCGAGGAGCCTGCTTCTCCCTCTGCCTCTGCTGTTCCTCCTGCTTGTGCTCTCTCGCTCTCTCTGTCAAATAAACAAAATCTTAAAAAAAAAAAAGAAATATTTTTCAATATGTAAAGAGAGACTGAGAAATACAAGTGTTACTATAACATCTATTCACTTTCAGTTCCTTTTAGATGCTTTTTTATACTACTTACATCATATTGCACAATTTTATACCTTGATTGTTTTCTCACAACATTATATAATAAGGGTTTTCTTAGAACGCTGCAGTCTTCATAATTAGTATTTTAATGGGGAGTGACTGCTTCAGGGGTGGGGGTTTCCTTTTAAGGTCAGGAAAGTGTTCTGCAAACAGGGGTGGTGGAGAACACTGTGACTGTACTAAATGCCACTGAGTCATACTCTTCAAAACAATTAAAATAGCAAATTTTACGTTATATAGATACTTGACCACAATATAAAAATGAAGAATAGCTGTCATGTACTGGAATTAACCTTTTCAGGCACAGGCTCGTGAGGTGATGTATCTCATTTAACCCTTGCAATAGTCCCATGAAACGGGCGTTTCTGTCATTCCTGTCTCACTGAGAAGGTAGCCAAGGCTGGGAGGGGGGCCGTGCAGTTTGCCCAAGATCACCCAGCAAGTTGGTGGAGGAGCTTGGATTTGCACTTGGGTCTGTGATGTCATTGCTCCAATTCTTCACTCCCCTGCTCCAGGGCTCCTACAGTAGCCTCCGACTTTCCACCTCTTTGTTCATGCATTTTATTGATATTCCTTAATATTTTCTTAGCTCTGAGTTCCCAGAAAATTATGTAGACATGTTTATGGCTCCCAGTTAACATTGCCAAATTATTTCCTAAAAGGGTATGAGTGCGTAAAATTTCACTAGGAAAAAAAAAAGGCCACTTCACCTCATACTTCTGAGTATTTACTATTTTTTAAATACTCGCTAATATAATAGGTGGAAATTGTCCTCATTCATTTCCTACTTTGCATTTCTTTTCCAATTAGGAAGAGTAAACATCCTCCTGTGTGCTTGTTTTACTCCGTGGTATTTCTTCTTTTGTGAAAAACTTGCTTTTTTCTTTTTTCCACTTTGGTAAATCAAAGTGGGACACTTGCAAAATAGCCAGAGGAAACGCTGCTTTCCCAGAGAGACATTCCCGGGCATGTCTCTGTGTTTTCACAAATAATCCAATTTTTCAATTTTGCAAGCCCAACGTTAACGCGTTCTGCACAAAAAAAAACCTTTGCTAGCACGGAACAGCCAAGGGATGAGGTGCTATTTCTTCTCCAAAGACTTTGAGTACATTTGGATAACCATCTTGAGTTTGGACAACTTGGCACTGGATCCAGAGTTGACAGGAGCCACGTTAAGAGGACCAGCATTTGGGAAGGAGAGGCTTGTCCCAGCCCTGACTGGGCAGGGCTGCCATGGAGGAAGCGCCTGAGGAAGCATTGGGTAGGGGGTGCGTTACTGGAGTTGAGTAGATGTGTGGAGGGACCAGCCTTCTCAGAATCTTTTGCTGAGAGTTAATGTATCCAAGTGTCTTGTTCTTGTATCTGCTTTCTAAGCAAGGTACATCCTGATGCTGGTGACAAAATCCACCACTGGTGGACTGGAAACTGATGTGGTCTGTGCAGAAGTGCTGCCATCTTGTGGCCACAGTCGAGATGGCACCCCTGAGGGCTG